TAAAGAGCAATGCTATCAGTCTGAAGACTAAGGTGCTCCTGATCCAGGCCATGGTCTTCTCAATTACTTGCTATGGATCAGAAAGCTAGACAATGACTAGAGGTGGTAGAAGGAGAATTGATGCCTTTGAGTTTTAGTGCTGGAGAAGACTGTGAATATGTCATGGAATTCTAGGAGAACAAACAGGTTTGTCCTAGAAAGGGTAAAATCAGGCTGCTCCTTGGAGGCAGATTCTGAAGCTTCATCTGACATACTTTGGGCATGTTGCAAAGAGTGACTAGTCCTTGGAGAGTGCTTGGGAGCATAAGGGAACAGTGCAAGAGAGAAAGACCCTGGATGAGATGGATTGACTCAGTTTCTGGGGTAATAGGAGGAGGTGTGTCAGAAACTATAAGGTTGGTACAGGATAAAGCAGGGTTCAGAGCTGTTGTACATAGGGTTGTTCTGAGTCACAAGCAACTCGACGGCACATAACAACAACAACAACACAACCTCTGACAGACAAGCACTCTACACATAAGAGCAGATTATAAACGAGCACACATTGACCTATTTAAACTTATTTGAACAGATCATAAAAGTTCTCCCTTCCAAGAAAATCCTGACCTAGACAGCTTTAAGGATGAATTCTACCTAGCATTCAGAGACAAATTATCACCAATTCTACTAAAACTATTTTTAAAAATAGATAGAAAAAACACTTTCAGAATCTTTCTATGAAACAAGCATAACCTTAATACCAAAACCAGAAAAAGACATCATCAAAAAAGAACTTTTACTAGAAAGACAAATATCCCTCATAAACATAGATGCAAAAATTTTTAACAAAATCTTAGCCAATAGAATCCAGCGGTGTACACAAAAATTCATCATGACCAAGTGAGAGTCATATCAGATATGCAAGAATGGTTTAAAATAAGAAAAAATATTTAATGTCCTTCATCACATAAATAAAGCAAAGAACAAGAACTACATGATCCTATCTATTGATGCAGAAAAGGCCTTTGGCAAAATCTAACACCCCTTCCTGATTAAACATTCAACAGTATATGTATAAAGGGAAATTTTCTCCAACACACAGTAAAAAGTATATATGCAAAACTAAGAGTCAATACTATTTTCAACAGAGAAAGATTAAATGCATTTCTTTTGCAAAAAGGGACCAGGCAAGGATGCCTACTATCACCATTCCTATTCAATACTTTATTGGAAATAGTAGGCAAGAGAAGGAGATAAGAGACTTCCAAATTGGCAAAGAGGTGGTAAAACTAGTACTGAGGTAAACTGGGGTTGCTGTGATGTTGAACCTTGTGCAATTAGGGTATCAAATGCCATAACAGTTCCCATAGTGGACAGTGTCTGGTGGAGCTCTCAGTTGATGACAGGTTTGGAAGCAGGAGTGGCATCCACTTCCTAAACAACATTCCTCTGGAAACTCTATGAACTTTGATAAATGATGATAGTTATAGAAAGGCTTCAGGCCTTTTGTTCATAGGGCCACTATGAGTTGACAGCAATCCACAACAACAATATGCAGATGAATGGAATGCAGTGCAGCACTAAAGAACAATGAAGTATTTATAAAATATGGTACAACATGAGTCAATCTAGAGAGCGTTGTTGGTGGTGGTGTTGTTGTTAGGTGCCACTGAGTTGAGTACAACTCATAGTGACCCCATGAACAAAAGATCTGAACTCTGCTCTATCCTGTGTCATCCTCACACTTCCTGACACACAAGAGCCCATTGCTGCAGTCACCCTATCAATCCATGTGGTTGAGAGTCTTCCTCTACGTCACTGACCCTCCACCCTTCCCAATATCATGTCCCTCTCCAAGGAATAGCACCTTCTAGCAACATGTCCAAAGTATGTGAAACAAAGTCTCATCATTCTTGCCTCCAAAGAGCACTCCAGCTGCACCCTCTCCAAGACATATCTGCTCATTCTCTTGGCTGTTCATGGGACGTCCAGTGCTCCTCTCCAACACCACAGTTCAAAGGTGTCAATTCTTTTCCTGTTATCCTTCTTCATTGTCCAGGTCTCGGATGCATAACCAGTGAAATCCTCAAGACTATGGCCCTTAGTTACCCTTTGAGCCTGATTCAGAGCTCACTCTATGGCTCAAATTTAAAAATAAGACAAGCTTATAAGATGAACTTTAATATCAGATGAGTATTCACTCCACAGAACAATCAACCACACAAGAAAAAAGGGAGTTATCTGCCTGGTGGTAACTCAGAATTTAGGAAGGAATAAGATAGAAGGATAAATCGAGATGAACGCTAAAGGAAAAAAGTGGAAAGAGTTCCTCCTCCTTCTTTTTCTTCTTCCTCCTCCTCCTCCTCCTCCTCCTCCTTCTTCTTCTTCTTCTTTCTCTCTCTCTCTCTCTCTCTCTCCTTACTGTTGAGTGGAAACTACCGCATAGTTGACTCGCCATAGACTTTCCAAGGCTGTGAGTCCTATGAAAGGATAAGGTCCATCTTTCTGCCATCAGCCAGTGAATTCAAAACTCTGAAGAGATGTAACATGTGGGCTATTACCATAACTCCCTAAGAAGAAAGTCCCCAGAGCCCCCTCTCTCAGATACTAGAATTTATTCTATAATGATAATTAAGATGTTGAGATATCTTACCCCAGTAAGACTAGCAAAATTTAACAGAACAGCAAGCAACAAATGCTGGCGAGGTTGTGGAGAGACTGGAACCCTTATTGGTGGGAGTGTAAAATGGTGCAACCACTGTGGAAAGCGATGTGGCACTTTCTCAAAAAGTTGCAAATAGAGATACCATTTGACCCAGCAGTTCCACTACTGGGAATATACCCTAAAGATACCATAAATGGCACCCAAGTAGATATATG